CGCCGTCCACACCACAAGGTCGGCGGCAGCCCTGCGGCGACGCGCACTCGCCCACAGCGCCTCCAGCCGCGACACAAACGTCTCGTCGATGTGGTTACGCCACCAGAACTCGGCACTCAGCAGCGGGCCGCGCGCCTGCAGGCTGCAGTGCAGCTTGTCTGGGTGACTGCGGTTCCCGTTCGGATTGAATGTCTCCAGACACACGTCCGGGAAGGGCGCACCGCTCCCAGATTCGGGACACAGGGGCCGCTGGGTGTCACTGGGGGCGGCGGCGGCGTCCCGCGGCCGGCATCGCACGTCCTCCAGTTGCAGTCGCCGCTTCAGGTGCTGGTATAGGATGCGGTTGCGAGAGTCGCCCACGAACACCACGCGATTGGGGCGTCCTCTGTCGCCGCCGCCTCGCGGAGGCACTGCGAGGCTTGCCAATCAGGTATAGATGGAGCTGCGCAGCTGTTGCCCGGGTCGGCGGACTCTCCGCCAGCCCAGTCGTAGCGCCGATGAAGCAGTGAGAAGATCCGGTCGCAGCGCTGGCGCGCCTGTCGCCCAGCGACATCACCATGACTGCTGGTGACGCTACCGAGCTGGTTGACTGCTGGTGACGCCGCTGACGTGTTGGCGCCGAGACGTATGGAGAGAAACGCGACGGAGACCCGTGGCCACATGCTGAACTCAACCCACCCTGTGGCATAAAAAGCTGTATTGAGCCTTGCATCGTCGAAAAATCGTTATCACCATGTATCAGACGCGTCCGAATCCATCTACACTGACACTTATGAGAACATCTATTATCGCTATGCACTCTTTCGATTCGCCGTCGTGAGAGTGGATTCTCTTCGTGAGCTTAAAGTGGTGAGGAATTTTCCAACTGGTTGTTGAACAGATGGTTGAGGGTAAAGATGACTGAAACATGACGAAAGCAACCAGCAAACCAGAACTAACTTTATAGGCGCAGGGGCAAAGAGAAACCGGAATGCAGTGGCGAAAAGATACCAACGATAATAACACATGAAGGCTAAAAGCGAATGAGTCGAAAATGATGCGCTGGTACGTCTGCAGGAAGGGCGGAAGGTCTGTAAGGTATTTCAGCTTCCAAAGTGTATATGACTGGTTGGGGACTGTGTTGTGTTCAGGGTATGGTCAGATCAGGCATGAAAGCATAACCATAAACCATTGGAAGGCCCAGTTTGCTATTTGGAAATCTATCTTTCCAAGCTCTGGTAAGCATGAGGGTCGGGGGCGCTGAGCATGTCACATGGGTCAGTATTGCTGAAAAACATTCCGTGCATCC